AGAAGCGTTGTTCTACCCAGATTACAAAAATATTGGCATAGCTGGGTCCCATTCTGGTGTCCATGGCAACTCCACTAACCTCCCTCCAACCCGATCAAATTAATTATACTTAAGTGGGGAGTCAAACATTTTGCACAAAATGGTAAATCCTAAGAGATCAAAAATAGATGTTTACTCATTCCATCCTTCTAGCAGAGATGAATACAAATGTATACAACATGAATAATAGTTGCTTGTGCTCTATGATGTGAGAGTAAAAATCATGCTGTAGAGGGAAGTTTCAGAAATTGCATAATGTGTTGTAAAACACTGAAAGCCATTTACAGATGGTGAATATATAAAAAGATACTTATCAGTTTTTGTATGCTTTGTTCAATGGTTAATCTAATAAAAAAATAATTTCCAGAACATAATACTTACCTGTGTGTGTCAGATCAATGGAATAAGCATAACGGCGGATAACATAAACAACATAAACAACAGGTTTAAGGAATGTTAAGGGTGGTGTTAATGAATGATATACAGTACTGTATAGAGCCATACTTCATGAGTTTAAAGATATAAATACACTGTGATTAGAAGTTCTTGCAAGATATTTTGATATAGTCTGCCAAAGCCTTATTATTCCTCAAGAAATTCTTTGTATATAGAATTCTAGATCTGAGCCTTAAAACGTGATGACTGCAGTGGTAAAGTGTAGTAGTATATTTTCTTGTTGCTTGATTGCCCTTACACAAATTTTAACAACTAAGCAAGAGACTGAAGAACAGGACTAGGTACCACCACAAGGCAAGGGAGAACAACTGGAAATATTAATCTGTCAAGAGAAGACATGCCAAGCACATGGAGTGAAAAAGGCTTCAGCCACTTAAAATCTTTCCATGGCAAAGAATATTATTACATATATGAAAAAGTACATCTAAATGGGACTGGAGTTCGGCAGTGGTTTTCTTGGTGCAAGAATCCAGAGAAATTCCAAATCATTTAAATTAGAATGGAATTTCTAGAAAACAGATCATGCACGAATGATCTTGCATTAAGAAGTAAAACAGGATAAGATAGATACGAAATTAGTAAAATTAAATGGCAACAGTTTACTTTTTTAATTTCAATGTAAAACACCACAGTGTGGGGTATCATAAATTGGATTATTGATAGGTGGGTTAGGGTAAAACAAACACCAAGTAGCTATGTTACGACCCCAAGTGTCTAAGGGTAAAGGGGTGTAACTTAAGGATAATTCTTTTGGAAGCAGGTGGGTTTTGGTGAGGGACTAGGAAGTGTGATAAGAGTAAGGAACTAGAGTGGTGCCAAAGAAAAGAAAATAAACAAAATGGAGCTGGCTAGGACAGTGAGGGAAAGCTAATCTGACTACAAAAGAAAACCCAAAACACACGGTCTTCGGCCTCTTCAACACCCTAGCTAACCTGCACTGACTACTCAAAACCATACAAGACAAACGGCACTCACCTGTACTAAACTAGTGTACTAATACAAAATCAACTAAGTGTAAGTGTACCCAACAACCTAAACTAACCTTATATACAAGAGTTCACACACAAAAAAAACAAGTGAACCAGGAATACAAATAAGGGAAAAGAAGAGTAATCAACAGGAGCAGGGTACAAAAGAACAAAAAAGTTGAACATGTAACACTGGAGCAAGGTAATGGCAAAACAAGGATGAACACACAAACAAACGAAAGTACAAAGAAACTAACAAAAAAAAACCCAACAAAACAACAAAGCTGAAGCTATACAAAAAAAACACACACACAAAGCAAAACAAACCAACAAACGAAGCCAAAGGAATAACCAGAAGCGAAGCGAAAACCAAAACCAAACGGGACAACAGTCAAACAAAAGGCCTTTTCTTCCTGAAAGCCTCCATATTATATAGTGAATAAAATGACTTCTGATTGGCTGAGGGCTGATTGATGATGACATCATATTGTCTGATTGATGATGACATCATACAGTGGTGTGATGGTTGGCCAATGGGGAAGGGAGAACAATCAAGGGTCAGCAGTGTGGACATAATATATTATTCATAAAGTAAGTTCCTCAGTTGTTTACTCCTTCTGGTACAGCTTGCATAGCAGAAGACCTGTCCTCTATCATCAAACAGCAGATGATGACTCCAAAAGCGATTAGCTTCTGACTTCTTAAATTGTTACTAAACCAATTGTCTTCCAGCAACTGATCAGGTGACTGTGGGCAGTTGCTCATTCCCCACACCCTTCTGGGGAATATGGTACAGACAGCCATCTCCATTTTGTCTTGAGTCACTGTCCTCGCACATTCAGATTTTACATGGAGTAGAGAAAAAATAAATCCTAAAACCAAGTAAATAAGAAATAAAAAAACAATAAATAAGGCCATTTTAAAAAACTGGAATGTATTTTTCAATAGAGATCAAAATACATAATAAAAAAGTTATTTCAATACTACAAGTGCAAAAAATTATATCAAGAATGAAGTAAAATATACAGTATCTGGGAAAGAAATGTGAAACATGAGACAATGAAAGGGAAATGACTGATGCACTAAAATGAGTATTGCACTCAGGTGTTCACTGTTACGTCCCAGTGTGTGTTCTGTGTGTGTTTTTTTCTATGTTCTACACTGCTGACCCTTGATTGTTCTCCCTTCCCCATTGGCCCACCATCACTCCACTGTTTCAGTATGATGTCATCATTAATTAGCCTCAGCCAATCAGTGTTCAATCAATGTTTTTGGTTTGGTTTGGTTTGGACTTTCGTCTGTTTGTGTGTTCATCCTTGTTTTGTCATTACCTTGCCCCAGTGTTACATGTTCAACTTTTGTGTTCTTTTTGTGCCCTGCTCCTATTTATTACTCTTGTTTTCCCTTATTTGTCTTCCTGGTTCACTTGTGTTTTTGTGTGAACTTTTGTATATAAGGTTAGTTTAGGTTGTTGGGTACACTTTACACACTTAGTTGATTTTGTATTGGTACACTAGTTTAGTTCGGGTGAGTGCCGTTTGTTTTGTATGGTTTTGGGTAGTCAGTGCAGGTTAGCTAGGGTGTTGAAGACGCAGAAGACCGTGTGTTTTGGGGTTTCTTTTGTAGTCAGATTAGCTTTCCCTCACTGTCCTAGCCAGCTCCATTTTTGTTTATTTTCTTTCCTTTGGCACCACTCTAGTTCCTTACCCTTGTTATCATACTTCCTAGTCCCTCACCAAAACCCCCCCTGCTTCCAAAAGAATTATCCTAAATGTTACACCCCTTTTCCCCTAGACACTTGGGGGCGTAACATTCACTAAGAAAGAAATCAACAACATGGCAGCTGAAGGACAAAGTTCTGTATTGGATAGTTTTAGAATAGAAGATACAGTAGTGTTTTAAGTATTTAGAATCATTCAAGATTAATAAATCCCTGTGGCCTGATGGTCTCTTACTAATTGTTCTCAAGAAATCAAGAGATGTTATTCAGAAGCAATTGTCACAGCTCTTTTAACAATAGCTTAAGACAGGAGTTTTGTCCAAGTACTACTGCTAATGTAGTACATGTCCATATAAACAAAGAGATAATTAAATCAAATAACACATACCATAAAGACCGGCTTTTTTTATATAAGATTGTAGAAATAAGTATAAGAATCAAACTGGAAATTAACATACTTTATATGAACATTATAATCCTAGGTGACAGTTACAGTAACATGGAGTTAAAATGGTAAATCTTTCATAACCATCTTGTTAATTCTTCAAGTAAGCAACAATGATAATGGCACACACATGGCATAAAATATGATGTGTTTAGATTTTTAAAAGGTTTTTGATTTAATTAATATTAAAGTTTAATTCTCAAACTGCACGAGGCAGGGAAACACAAGTGTTTGGATTAAGAATTGGAAATTAAAAAAACAGGGAGTTACAAAAATAAATTGTGAATACTCATATTTTGTTGATGTACTAAATGGAGTATGTAATAGGACCACTGCTTTTCTTGATTTACATCAATGATATAGATTCTGGTATACTTAGCGAATGAGTCAAGTTCACATCTGATACCATGTACTGTAGGAGGATTAGCCAATTAATTTTGTAGAAGAAGCAAATGAAATTAAGAAATATTTAGATAAAATTCAAAACTGGACAAACACCTGGCAGATAACATCTTAGATTTTCCAGAGACCTATGTCTAGAACACCCAAAAAACCGTAGGCTGTTACCAAGTATTCAACTGTTAAATAACGCCCACAGTGGCCAAAAGAGGAGATAAGCTACTTTCTAAACTAAATAAAACACAACCTGTGTTAAATTTCTCCCTCTGCAAACCCAAATGCCACAAAATAAATGGGAATCTCTCTCACTATTCCAGAATGTACTCACTAACCAGGAGAGGACATTTTTAATTGAGGAACACTTTACACAGGAAATCCAAGTTCTCTAACAGCAAGCTCTCTTAGCTTCAATATGGTCTTCCTAGTTGATCTTGAGCAGGGAACTCTCACCTGACCTATGTTCTGTCTCCTACTCTCCTGTGGTCTGTTCCCCCCTCTCTCCTCATGTTCTCTTATCTTTTTTTCAGTTCATCTGCTTTATCCTACACTTTTGATGCTCTTAATCATTTACCCAAAATTTAATTAACTATGATAAACCAGAAGACAATGATAAACCAGAAGACAACTACGTAAAAAGCCCTTGGTGTTTGAAGCTCTAAGAAGTGGAAATGTTGACAATAACTAGTCATTATCCATTGTCTCTAGGTTCTTCCATAGTCACTTACAGCTTTAAAAATAAAGAAAATAATGATTAGATTCTTCAAGATTTCTTAGATGTTTTCAATAAGAAGGTAAGTGAATAAAACGTTTCTCCATGTGTTCTTTTGTTTCTACAGGCATAAGAAAATGCCTCTAAGAGAAATATAAATCATTGATGCATATCAGCACCTACAGTAATTGTATTGTGTTAAGATTTAAGATCAATGGGAAACTGAAATCTAAGTAGAGGGAATTAAATGTTTCTAGTTCTCACCATCCAGGCAGTCACAAAATCTCCCATCCAGGTTCCTACTGCTGCTAATTTCATGAAACTTTCATTTCTGATGCCCATGTACTCTGTCACAATGTGTGGACTGCAAAGAGAGAAAGAAAGACAGTCAGCACTGGTAAATGTCATAATGTCCACTGGCAGAAAACTATTCATTTCAACCCACTGCTGTGGACACGGAGTGGTTATTTTATAATCTTTCATATTATGGGTAACAATTATACATCCTTGTTGTCTACAGAAAGATCAGTTCTTACAAGCAAATTTATTTTAATGCACGTGAAGTTAAAGTATTTTCTATTGTTTGTTCTTAGCATCACATTCCACGTACCTGTAATATGTGAAATTGTTAGCACCTCCATGATTGGAGGGCATTACCATCCAGTACACCCTCAAAATGCTTACCTACCCTTATTTCTGACTGAACAGATATAGTATGTGAACAGTCTATCATGATCTTTATATATCTGTATATCTTTTGTCTGGCAAGCTGATAGTGTCCTATGGAACCTTATTAGCGCCACTAAAGAAATATCTCATTTATACGAGATAGTATTGCATTTTTATGAGAAATGTATCTCATTTATATGAGAAAAGTCTTGTGTTTATACAAGAAACATATTCTGTTTTTACAAGAAAATTATTGCATTTATACAAGAAAAGTATCTCTTATATACAGAAAAAGTATTGCAGTTATATGCAACAGTTAATTTGTGAACAATCTTGCTTACTATATTAATACTGTGTATTGCATTGTACCTTATAGGCAATAATATTATCCCTTGCAAAGTAGCATTGACTTTAACAACAGCAGAACATTGTCACCCTCCTCTTTTTCTCTTCATATATCATATATCTCACTTTCTCTCATATAAACCATCTTCATGGCGCTAATAAGCTTCCATTGTCCTGGCCACTTCAAGCTCACCATACTCCAGAGGCACCCTGGCCTAACAGTAGCAGGATTGTAATACTCAATTTAAGCCACTTTTGGCTAAGACACTAGGGATATTTTAGTGTTCCTTGGAAATGGAGAAGTGGTGTAGGGTGGCATGGCACAAATGGATAGGAACAACAAACAATCCTTACAAACAGACTATCTTTGCTCTTTTGTAACTGTTTTTGATCAGCTTTTCTAGTGCAAGAAACAGTATATTGTCCATGTGTGAACAAATTATTATGCCTAAACTTCACTGGCCCTAGGCTTTAAGTGTTTTTTTTTCACTTGGCCATGTCAGCAATTGTGAAAATGCTTTTTCTGCAAAAAAATATTAAGCAGCTGCATTAAGGGTGGATTATAAATCATACACCATCAATATTATATTCATTAGATTATTTTGACAGAGCTTCATTAATGGAATTGTGAGGTGTCTAGTGACTGATCACTTCAGTTCATCCAAAAATAACCTCCTTGATTAGAATAAGGATTTATGTCCGCATTAACTCAGTTAGATGTTCAGTATCTTGGACCTTGTCCAGCTTCCAAAGAGGTCCCACAGGGAGTCATTTGCTCTCTGCAAAATTATAATCAATATTTCTTGAAACTCAAACTGCTGCACAGTAAATTCGCTAGATAATTCATACCAGAGGAAAACATCCCTCTTCAGAAAGTGTTGGATAATTAGTTAGGGAAATTTGGTGTTATGAAGGGACTTTAACATCTGCAGAAAATATCTGCAGAAAATGTAAAAATGTAGGTATACCTTTAGAGAATTTTTTCGAATCATGATTAAAGGCAAAAGTTTTTCGACTTATTCATGTTTGTTGAAATTTTAATTACCTTCAGAGAAGATGACCTAATCAGACAGATGAGGGAGGTTGTACATCAGGACATGAAAAATCAATACCAAATGGTTAGTGCATGGTTTAAGTCAATGTTTTTTCAAACGTATTTTCAGAACCTTTATGTGTTGCTTGTTGATAATTAAAACGGATATTCTATTGGTCCAACATATAAATATGGCTAATACTGTATCATTTAACTTTTATTTTAAGTACTGAATTTATATAAGAAACCATCTACTTAAAATATGCAAAACATTTACAGCTGAAAGAAAAATCCATCAAAAAGATTTTTTTTAATTCTTTGTTCTAATGTTTGATTGAAAAGTAAATTGTTCCATATTTTATGTTTTACATTGTAAGTTCTCAAGATCCTACTCTGGCTTTGTCTCTACAGGAAATAATGGTGGCTTAGTATGTGATTCCAAGCCAATCACAATCAGACCCAGATTGATGAGAAAGATACTAAAATCATTTCAGGATTGTTCTCAGAAAGATACTTTCAATTCATTAAAAAGATAAAAGAAAAATGGTAGAATCACATCAAATCTTAAATTGTTTACTTCAATCATCCAATTGTCTATTTACCAGTTGTTTATTATTAAAACAGTATTTAAATGTTTATTTAATGACTTTACCGCAACATTTTTTCTGTATTTTTTACTGTCTGACTTTTTTCATGACTGACTAATTTAACAATAAAATACTAACAGTAATTATAACATTGTTGTATAATGACAATTTAAATGAAACAGACACAATTCATAATTAATGTTAATAAATTTTAAAAGAAATTTGGGAAATATTCAGACACAACAGTAATAAATAAATAAAATCTTGCTATTCAGATTGGCAATTATACATGTTTATTTCTGCAGTAAGACTAGTGCTATCAAAAGAGTTACAAACACAATGAAAAACATTGTGTTTTCTTTCTTCTCTTTTTCAGCATGGAATAAACATATTACTTGTTCCTTTGCAGCCTACGCATGCTGACGCAGCTACCCATCTGAACTATTAGATGTGTATGCCTTCCAAGGTTTACATTTGGGTAGTCCATTAAGGAGCATCCCTACAAACTGGGTCATACAGGACCATCAAGGAAAGTTTAGACAAAAAGGGATGAAGAAGTACGAAGGGAGAGGAGAGACTAGGGAATTGTCTTGACTTCCCAAAAGGGGATTAAGGTGTTACAAATCTCAGAGCTGGTTCGGGGCTTCAGGTCACCATAGCTGTCCACGGAAGGGACTATCCACCTGTGCTATGGACAGTAGGTCTACTGGTTAAAAGAGCCATGGTAGTGTAGCGGCGAGGCTTAATAATAAGGCAGAATTAAGTGTTTCTGAGCTTCCCAAATGAGGCCCCATTTCTCTGTTCATCTCTGTGGTGCAGCCACAGAGAAAC